GTTACCCACACCCACACCCACACCCACACCCACACCCACACCCACACCCAAACCCACACCCACACTTCGAAGGCAACAAGCAAGTGATCCACCATTCGGGCGTCCGTTGGAATATCCACGGTGCTACGAGGAACCACAAGATCGTTTGGATGACATATTGGAGGAGTATCAAGATCCATATGAAGAGCCGATGGATGAGATATTCAATGAGCCACTCTTGGAAGCCTATGATTTGGAAGCGATGCCTCCAAGGGAAAGATGAGAACAAGAACAATTGAATGACCTGGAAGGATTTGCTGTTCTAGAACAATTAGCACTGATACAGGACGAAACAGAACAATCAAAACAAATTGATATGGCTCAAGAATTGGAAGAGCCACAACAAGAGCGAAACAATGAAGAACTAATTCAGTTGGAGCAATGGGGACAGATCTATTTTTTACTTCAACAATTAAACCAAAACTAGACTCTATCTAACTTTTCTTTCTACTACTTAGTCTAACTTGTTCTTCTATCTACTTTTATTAACTGAATTATTTGAATCAAACAAAATTTTCTTTTTTTGTTTTCTGTAGTATAGTCTAGTGTGCAACATATTTAATCAAGCGTACAGATTAGCTGTAACATATGGTTTTTGTTTCAGATTTGTAAAATGTCTCTCAACAATAGCGAAAACAAAACAAGTGGTACTCCACTCGACGATGGTCAAGGTCGTTGGTACGAGCTGCTTTCAGCAACATAAATTGAGCCACTTCGAAAGCGGTTATGGCAGCTCATCTCACCCTCATCCTCAGCTTTGGATAATGTATCGTCATTCACGAGATGGATGAGGCACTGGCAATCGAATTCCTCTTAGATCTGCTGTACAGCTACTTGTGGGTTGATCGATGATGACAGACACTCAAACCCTTCTCGGAGGGTTCAAAATAAAACTCACCCTCACCCTCACCCCACACCCCGAACATTCCTGATGATGACAGCCTAAGCAACTGTCGAAATGCATCGTATAATCGCTTGGTATCTACTTATATAAACTTACCCTCGCTCGCCACGGCTCCAACAGGATGGTTCCTGGTCTCGCGCGAATAGAATAACCATTCTTTTCATCAATTCAACGTGGTTTATTTGAAGGAAAAGAAAAAAACTAATCCATCGTTTTGAGTTTATTCGATTGAAAAACGTTGAACACGATTATTCCGCACATCGGCGACATAGAGATTGCCATGTCGATCGAAGGACAAACCTTCGAGATTGTTGAACTGATTTGCTCCTGCTCCTTGACCATTTCCACCCGCAATGACAGTGCCCTGTTTCGCTCCTTTAGGCCAACGCATCACTCGATTATTCGCCTTGTCTGCCACATAGATGGTACCCAACGTATCGACGAACAGACCTTGAGGAAGCGACAATTGTGTCGTAGCATTCCCTGCGCCTTGACCTCCAGCAACGACAATTCCTTTTTTTGCACCTTTATTCCATTTCATCACACGATGATTGCGATAGTCTGACACGTAGACAGTCTGTTGTCGATCGACAAAGATGTAGCCCGGAGCGTAGAGTTGATTGAGATCAGTACCATTGCCATGGCCACCGGCCACGAGAGTTCTATTCTTGTCTCCTATTTGATATCGTCTTACTTCATGTTTCGTGTAGTCAGATATGTAGAGATATCTCTGATCATCCATGGCCAATCCATAACAATCGATGTTGTCGATGAGGATTTTTCCTTGAGTTGTGCCACTACGACGAGACCATTGTACAACGCGTTGATTCCCTAGATCACAAATAATGAGACTATCACTCTCTTTGTTGTCCAATACATCGGTTGGATACTGCAACTGATCCGATCGATTTCCTTTATCATGACCACCAGCTACCACTTCTCCATTCGTATCACCCATCTTCCATTGGATGATACGATGATTCTCCCATTCACCGATGACTATCGTTTGATCATCATCAACGAAGAGACCATTAGGGAGCCAGACTTGATTGGTAGCATTGCCTTCTCCATGGCCTCCAGCAACGGTCACTCCATACTGCTTCCATCGGGCATCGGCTGGAATATTGGGAACTACTATAATGAACGAAAAAGAAAACGAATCGTCGTTGTTGAAGGGATCCTCCTCTCTCTCTATCGTGGGGAAAAGTGTTACAAATGAGAAACGTATTCATTTGTCTATTCTGAGCAAAAATCAGCCGATGCAGAGAGAAACACATAGATTTCTCACATCATCACAATAAATATAAAAGTATTTTAACATTAACAGAGAAAGTAAACAGATCCTTATATAATTCAATCGATTCTATTCAGACAGAACGCTTTACTCGTTTGTAAGGTGATGAAAACAAAACTCAGCTAATTTTTCGTTGTATGACTGTTACACTTGTTTTTTTCTTCAAACAATATTGAAATTTCAGATATCCAATCGTATATTGTTCTTCTTTTTCCTTTTCTTTTTATTGTATAATCTTCCAAACTTAAAAATGTTTATTCATGTCGAGATGAAAATACAATGGAATGTCAATAGCTCTAAGAAAAGTCGCCCCTCAAATGAATCAGTAACAGATTCTTAATACGATAAGAACGAAAGAAAAAAACATCTCGAAAACTTTTATGATTTGACAAGTATTAGAAACATAAAACGAAAATATATAACGATAATTATGCTACATCACAAGTAGATCAGAATCAACTTTAAGCTTTGAGAAAAATAATATATAAATGAGTTAAACAAACAGATAATAGAAACAGGCATCAACTCGTATATATATAAAAGAAAATAGTCGCAGATCCTTATGAATATCGTATTTTTTACCATTTTTAAAAATTGACTTGTCATTCTGCTAAGAAATCAGAATAGTCTATAAATAAGTTTTCACATCTGGTGTGTTCATATAAAAGAAGCAATCGGTAGAATCCGGTAATTCCTAAAATAAAGGAACCACAACCGGTAGAACCAAAAAATTTTTACTCATTACTGGAGAGCTGATGTGCAAATGTTGCATAATTTAAAGTCGAGGAGATCAATCGACGAGTGCACCATCAGTAAGCTACGCGTGTTTCTCACAATTCGACAGGTTTTTCTTACAGTAGCTGTTCGATGACGCATCTCCAATGTATTGTATCATATTAAGAGATAAACTCAAAGAGGTTTTTTTTTGTTTGTAAGTTCATTCTTTCAAAGAAAAACCAGCTTCACTAAAGAAAAGATTATATGAAAATTTGGCTTTTTTTTTATAAAGAAGACTCTACGAATTCTCGGCAATCGAAGCAATTAAAGGAAGAGGTAACTACTAATGAACTTAAGCGATCTAAGAAGCCTAAAAAATCTCGTAAAGCCGAGGACTCCAACAAATCTAAGCAGCTCAAACAATCGCAGAAATTCAAGGGATCCAAGTTGTTTGAAAATTGCAAAGAATCCATGAATTCGAAAGATTCAGCAAAAAAAAAGGGCGAAATCGAAAGAATTCAAAAAATTGACGATATCACGTGAATCCAGAGAAACTAACAATTCGTGGGAATCTAGAAAACACAAGAATTCCCAAGAAACACAGAAAAAAAGAAAGGAAGAGAGGAATAGAAGAATCGAGGATTTAGAAGGAATTCAAAAAGTACAAAGTATGATAAGATTCAAATGAAATCGAGAATTCGAAAGGCTTTCGAAAATCAAAGAAAGCTAGAGAGTCCCAGGGACACAAGATACGTCTTTCGAGCAGAGACCCTTAAGGGTATGGGTGAAGATGGAGAAAATCATCTTAAACACATTCAAGATGGAACAGAAAAAAAATAATGATAGGCGAGGAAATGCCTTATTCTGAGAAGTATGAGAACAGATTTAGAATAGATGTTCTCGATCAACTAATGGCTTATAGAAGAAAGAAGATGATTGGTTGTGTGTAATCCCTTGTTCTATGAAAACCATGAAGTTTTTATAGTGTATGAAATTAAATGTTTTCTTTCGAATTAAGATGAAGCAATTTTCATTAAAAGGAATTATATGTACTAGTATTGAACAAAGAAGAAGACTGCATTGTCATTCTATAGATATCAGCAAAACGAAGGAAGCTTCGATAGTGACGGAAAATAACCAACTTCGACATTACTATGACTTGATTTTTCTCTTATGATAAAGATTGACTCATTCATAATATAAGATCGCTGATCTAATCAATACCACCTTCAGCTAACTGCAGAGTAATATCAAATACAAAGGAAGTATATATACTTCATTAAAAATTAGCAATAGCCAAGATCAACAAGCGTTAATATAATGCTTATCTAGTTGCTGAGTAATGGCTTTAGTTGTCATTGTAATCGGCATTGTTGTTGTTGTTGAAGTGTTCGTTACTATTTATTATCATAGAAAAATTTATGTAAACAAAGCAGATAGTTTGGGTGTAACATAGAGTGCGATATAGAACTCGAAGCACTTAAGCTTTAGATGTAGTCTAAGCAATGTTTCAAAGTAGAGAGATGGTCTCAAACGGTCTGGTAATCGAATTTTTTCTTTCAAAAACTGATGTTTGATGGAAAACCACTGTGTTCATCAGAGGCCAAAACCAAGTAAAAATGTCGACGATTCGATTCAGTATGATTTGATTGGATCAAATCGAATCAAATCTAATTGAATTGAGCGATATCGATTGGACACTTCAGATCTGCTTTCTTGATTTTGAGAAATCTTGGAAACAAACCAAAGACTTATGAGACAGAAAAAAGCTCATCTCATGTAGAGCATTATAGATTATTTGTTTGACCTGTAGAGCTCTTCTTGCGAAAATTTGTCAAAAGCAATTAAAATTAGGTGAACCTAGCTGAGAAACGGCTGATGCAAGCGTTTTCGAGACTAAAGTGAAAGCTTATTCTATTCAAATTCGGCCCTTCTGTTCCATTTTTGGATACGAACAACAATTTATGTGCACTGGCTGCTGTTGCAGTACAAGATCGTTACCTGAAGTATGAAGGATGTGATTTCAACCTCTTACATAAAGTGCTCATCTGCTACGGTATTGATCTCAGGTCATTAGAATATTCTGTCGTCAAATTAGCACTATGAGTGAAATGAATTTAAAGGGATATTCGAAAAAATAGAATAATATTATAGAGATAAATTGTTACGAATTGTCTCGATCCTCTCGTCATTAGACGGTTTGAATTTTTATATTCTTTTCTTACGAAATAAATCTTGGAAATTTCTCATATTCAGGTATTGTCTTCAGAATACGTATCTGTGCTAACGGCGACTCGTCAACATGCATTCTGCTCTCATTAGTACCTCACTGAGGCGGCTCAGCCAATGGCGTTGCAAGCCTTGAAAAACGGCTTACATACACAGCTGCATTACTTTTCATAAGTGGTCATATTCATCCAATTCAATCATTAATGTTCTTTTGAGCTCTAGCGATCACTGCGTCATATCTAAATGGCCAATGTTCACTTTGACATATTTACTCATTAGAAATAGAAGAGAGAGAATTATAAATGCGTCTTCTTATGTACTAGCTGTCAATCAGAGTTGTTTCGAAAAAAGTACTGTCTATTGAACTTAATTTTTACAAGAATGAGTCAACAATATAACGAACATTCGGGGATGAAGAAGAGGGTGGTAAAAAAGAACTGATATACCCTATGAAGATTCCAACATATTACACGTTCTACACAATTGAATCAAATCAAACAATCGATTTTTCATTTTTTTTCGGTCTCTGATGCACATTCAAAACTTTCCTGTGTTTTCATGTATTGCTAAATATAACTACAAATTCTTCATTTTAAATTAATGGATATGGTCCATGAGAAGAAACGAAACTTTTTCCCCAATAATTACATTTCACTTTGTTTTCTTCACGATTTATCTACATCTTTTAAAGCCTCTTCGGCTCTTCCTCACCATTCTCCTATGTGTGGGTGTGGCGCGGGCAGATGAACAAAGGTCCGCTGACGCTCCGACCCAATCCACATCCACCTACCTGAAAAATTCCGTTCAATTACTACGAGTTCAATAGTCTTTATTCACTTTGAGAAATACTTTTAGAAGAAACATGCATTATAAGTATTGTTATTTTGGCGCACCGACTAATTTTATACAAAACTTTCAATGAAATTTAGCAAGACTTGGAACGCTCCTCTATCAACCCAAAAAAAAACCTTGAATTTTAGTTAAGAAATGACGAAGACATTCAAGTATTTTTCATGACAGGCTTTTGGAACAACTTGTATATTCCCAAGCAATATCAAGAATTCTAATAGAACCGCTCTTAGCACAAATACAATATCAACTTATTCGTTTCTTCCGAGCACGGGAGGCCGATTGATGCAATGGAATTCAGACAAAAGCAGCCGAATATATAATTTCCAGAAAATGCTTGTTCAACACAAGTAGCTCCGGATACTTCGCATATACTTTCGCGATGACAGAGTCCTTTTGAGGCAGAATATGTAGTGTATAACAAAAGTCGCTTGTGTAAAGTAATGTCCCATAACTCCACTATATAATTAAACTTAAGTGATAATGGTTTTTTCACGGTGGGTAAGAGGTTTTCGATGAGGGTCTTCTCTTCACCTTCACCTATCTACATCCATCAACACTATCATACCCTCTCCAACCTCAAACTGTCACCATCGCCCGTCCTCTTTCGAATCACTGGAAAGAAATATATTCTTTTTTTGAAAACTTCAGGTGAAGTCCCTAATTCGGTTCTCTCGAGAATATCTTACTGTGCACCGAATATTCAGTTTAACGTCCCTTACTATTGAGTACTATGCCATGAGAACATACATATCTCTCTAGGACTCTCTTAGTCTCATCGAGGTTTATTTATGGGCAAAAGTTCAGATTGTTATCGTGAAACTAGTGAGAGTATCTCCTGGGCCAGTAGTTTTTTGTAATAGGATAAAAGTAAATTTCCACATTTCAGTGGCTAGCGGCAGTTTTCAGGAGTAGTTGAGATATTTCTCTTTATGAATAAAAACTTGCCGATGATGATAACTATCATAAGAAAAAAAGAGAATCAATTAGGTTTAATCAAAAAGTGGTGTTCTATGAAATTGGTTTACACCACCGAGCTTTGGAGCACGTGGTTAGAAACCAGAACCTTGGATAGTAACTTACGACACCATTGATTCATCTGAAACTGCTTATCAGGACACGTAGAAATAACTGTTTCACTTAAGGTTTCATAACAATCATAGCCATTGGCTGGTATAAAATGATCGCTGGGTTCGCATATTGAACAGATTTTTAACATGGAATAGGGAGCTTATTTAAGACAGTAGTACATATTTCACTTACCAGAAGCGGTTGCTGTTGTAATTAGCGCGAAGAAAATGACGGCACAAACAAAAATCATCACTCAATTGATCAAAAAACGTCTTGCGCACGAAATAAATAAGTGTGAGTCGCAGCTGCAAAGTTTCTCACTTATGCTTTTACTCATTTCTAGCACAATGATAAGTGAGTGTGCGTTGCCACTATGTACACTCTAAAAAAAAAAGGTTTTTTACCGAACCTAAAAAGGATCTTATCCTCGGTACACGGTAAGATCCTTTTTTGGTTTCGTAAAAAACGAGGTTTCGTAACAAACCATCTTTGGAAA